ATTCGATTTATTTTCGCATAATTCTTCTCAGCATAAATACGTTCAATTTTATTTTAGCACTTTCTCGTCTCTTTTCTAAATCCTTAAGCTTCAAAAATCTCAAACAATATTTCCTCGATAAAAGCAATAGGTACCTGCACCCGCTATAATTATGATTATAGGCATAAGTCTATTGCTATAGCGTACCTACATTTAGAAACACATAGGTACCTACCTCAATTACTAAGTTTAATAATGTATGTGTCTCCTGAGTATCTTTGCAGAAAAACACCATTGTTACTGTCTGAAATTTTTACAGGATATTCTTTCTGTCTTGAAGAGAAATCAACGGAAATTAAAAGAGAAAACTGGGATCATTTCTCCTTAGAAAAAATAAACATGTTGGAAAATGACTAACGTCTTGAATCCAAAATGCATGTTTTTGGACTTGAGAAGAATGTATTATGGAACTCGCCCCTTGGGTTCGAATCTGCCGCGAAATTACAATCCAAACATGCGACGTGCGCGCGCAGCAGAGCCTCACTTTTGGGCGCCTCATCCCTCCCGTGTGTGGCACCCGTGTAGTTCGTTGCCTACGGCACCTACGTCATCAATGTAAACAAGACGCTCGTTGAGGGTTATGTTGACGCTGTAAAAACGGACCATAATGTCAGATTTTTTTACTTAAATCAACTCTTTATGTAATTTCAAGCACTTTTTACAGAATGACTTTTTCCCTTAAATTACACCATTTCCAAGAAAATCGACAGGATAAAAACGTCGCTGTACCCAATGACGTCATCAAAGCTATAGATACTTTAGGAAAAATTCCAAGATGCAGATGCCCGAAATGCAAACACCTCCTTTTTTTTCTCTATGTTATTCAAGAGTATGATACATTAATGGATTCACTATGGCTTTATCCATCTGTTTGCAGCAAAATTTGCAAAAATCAATGACGATTGAATTGAAATCGTCAAAATCGTCGAGAAAACACAAGCAGTTCTTGATTTCTCCATAAGCCACTATGATGATATTGATAAGTGCCACTCTATAGTCCTTTCCCATGGCCTTTCCCTTTTCCTCACCTCAAGGCAAGGGCAACGGCATGCGGCAACGGTCTTTCTTTTTCGGCATAGAACAATAAGGTTACGTCTTTTATTATTTTATGTTTTCGGTGAGTGGAATCGCAGGCCGAAGGTTGATCGAACATTTTTATGTTCCTCTTCTAATTATTTAACATTTCATGTCGGTAGACCCTTGTAAAAAGTTCGCCTGTAAACTTCAGAGGTGCCTTGAAGGTAAGTTTACATACTTTACTTTAATTGGTTGAACCGCAGTTAATTAACTAGAGGTGGGCTATACAACTCGGTTTTGAAATTTGAAGGCTCAAGGAATTCCCAAAATTTGAAATAATGCACTAGGCATGTATTTCACCACTGTGAAGTCAAGTATTAAGAAAGTTAAGTGGTTAAGTAACCATTTTTCAAGGTGATTCGTGAAGCTCTCTGATGTGGTCAACTGGCAGGCGTTAAATCATATTGGTTAGGTCCTGAATCTTGGTAGATTTCAAATTTTTAGACCTGAAGAGGACGATAGCCTCTGGGAATGATTCAAAACAACCGTTTTCAAAGCAAAAAACTGGCAAAATTCAGAAAAATAAAAGCAGTATACTGTTTGGAGAAAAACCTTGCGTTCAATTTAGAAATCAATGACTGTATTAAGTGCGAGGTTTTTTTCTTAACAGGATCCCACCTTCATTTGTCTCAATTTTGCCAATTTTTTGGTTTAGAATGATTGTTTTTGCGCATGTGCTGGGGCTCTTGACTTTATTTAGGCTAGAAATTCAAAATTTGTGGAGATTTTAGATGTAATCAATGCGACGTATAGCATGGCAGTTTGTCCACTTCCGAGAGCTTGACGTACCACCCTCAGATTGTGTCCTGCCTTTCGATGCCGTCGAAAACTTGAAATTGAAAACTCTTCCTCATGCGGCCATTTTTTCGAACCTTCAACAAAATTTACCTCTAACTCCGTATTTACATCAATTACATCTAGATAGGCGTTCCTCACAAATTTATTACATTTAATCTTGATCACTTTTTTTATCAAAGCTAATTTGAATCTTGCTGATTCTGTCAGTAGTCTCTGCTCTGGGTGTTTACCAGGAGTCCAGTCTTCAAAACCAAATGATTGTAATGATATGAAATGCTATTTTCCGCTTTGCTCCGTAGCGCTTTCTAAAAATTTTATTAAAAATTAACAATCTGCCTCATTTGCTCTCTCTTGTCTCGGAACACCCAAAATAATAACAGTTTTTTCCTCTGCTAATTTGTCTAGAAAGGAAATATCAAAGTTTTTTGGAAGCTCATGAAATTTATCTGATGCATTATTCGAGCCTCCCACGATTAAGACGACGTCACCAAGGGATTCATTGATTTGTTCCTGTCGAATTTTCCCTAAAATGTCTTCAAATCGAAATTTGTGATCCCCGGTGCTGGAAGTGTGACAGTTTTCTTTGCCAAAAACTTCGTAAATAGCAGATTTTATCGACTTCCCTGTTTAATCTGAAAAAAATGAGATATTTAACTTTGTTTGCTTTTTTGATACCTTGGGCTTTTCTTTTGTGTTAAATACTTCTATTTTCCCTATTTCTTTTTCTTCCTCCCGACCTAGACTTAACTCTGGCCGGGAAAAATCCCGTTTTTTGGATAATTATTCCCATTTTGATTGTTTTGGTTATCCAGAGGATGTGTTCTGCATTGGTAGCCCCAATGTCCCATCCTGAAACATCGATTACATTGATTTTTGTGAAGCTTGAATGCCTGATTCCCTGGAGGATAGTTAAAATTTGGTTGAACCTGCTGAGAAGGCTGTTGAAGGCTCTGAGGGGGGATTTGGAAACTCGGCGATTGGTACTGATCAATACCTAAATGGTGCCACAATTTTCTGAAATTTTCTGAAATAGATTCCAGTTTTTTCTCTATTCCATCAGATTGCCCCTTGATTAAATCCAGTTTTGTGACTAAAATGCCCATTCCTACCTCCAGCTCTTTTACTCTAGCTTCAAGTTTTGCGTGGTCATTAAATTGCCCCCTGTGTATTTGATTATGATTAACTTCACTTATTTCATTCACTGTTTTACTGGTATAAAAATTGTATTCCTTCAGAATATGCTTTGCTCTCGTAACATTGGTTTTTAATGCCCGTGTCGAAAATAAAGGTGGAGTGGTTACAATCCAATGAAAACTTAATTCAAGAAGTTGGCTGCAAACTTAATTTAAGTCTAATTTTTTCAGCTATTTCCAAGATTCGTGTCATGCTTGAAACCAGGAATCTTGAATCGAGTATACATTATCTTGAATCAAGAAACAACTTCTTAGAGTTAGCAGCCATGGTGGCTTGATTTAAGACTCAGCAGGTTTGACTCAAGATTTTTGTGCTGCTTAAATCAAGCTAGCAGGTGATCCAAGCTATAAGGTAGCTGCAAATAGGAATCTCGAATCTTGAATTTAGCAATAAATTGCTTGTTTTAAGATAAAAATTCTTGAATCAAACTGATTTTTTTTCAAGATTCCGAGACGGCTTGACCGTAGCAGACTTTTTTTTTCCAGTGAGTAACTTTAACCGTTAGACTACTACGCTACTCATCAAGTCTCTCATCGACTAAAATCACTCCTCGAACCAAATGATCAGTTCTAAGGAGAAACAAAGGAGCGCAAAGAATTTGGTCATTTTTTTGGCTCTCCTCATTTTTGTCACACCTGATATTTCCTTTAACCCTCTATTGCATGCATACACATATATGTAATTTAACGTATTTTCTTTTTTTAAAAATTATGTACGAGCGCAACACTGTTTCTAAATGCATCTATGCAAGCCCAAGGGTATTTTCTATTGGATAAAAATGACGGAGCCCACTCCAATGTTACACAATTAGGTTAAAAAACGTGTTTTTTCCAGCAACTCCGGGCTGCGTAGATCGGCTCTGGCAACGCATTTCCGGCGCAGGATTTTGGTTGGTACGAGTGCTCGAATGACAATGAAAAAAATTGTGCATGTGCACGTCATACTTTTTTTAGGTGACAATAGGAAATATTAGATGCAAAATGGGTTTTTAATTAATTAATTTAAAACCGAATAACATATTTGTGATCTCGTGCAACTAACTCTGGCGGCGAAAATGACAAGTTACATAATATGTCATTCCATGCAACCGATTTTGGCCAATAAAAATGAATATACGGCTAATATTATTCACCTATAATTTGATTTATGCTGGCAAAAACAGTGTTCTCCTAATATTTTTAATCTCTGTTAAGACTAATGTTTTCTCATTTCTTTTTAATGAAATGTACTTACGCATGTTTTTCATGTTACATCTATTTTTAGGGTTTTTACCAAAGTTGAAGCCCCATTAAAATATCAATTCCTCTCTCCTTATCTATTCTGATAAGCTGTTTCATTAATTTTAATGTCCATTGACATCTCGACTCTAATGCTGTTGTTTCTATCAGTATATAATCTCTATAAGATTGAACACTGTAATTAAGATATCATCTTGAATATGCATATTTTATGTATAGATAGTTTTGTAAAATTATCTTAATAAAACCTTTAAAAGGAAAAAAAAGAAGAAAAAAATTACTATCCATGTTATTAAACAGTCTTCGATAATAATGGTTTTAAGACTTAGAAATACCTTCAAAAGGCTGCATAGTAAGTGTGCTCCAACGACAAGTTTTTGGCGCATTTAAGCTCTCAAAAGCAAATTCAGAGTCTCACCGATCGGCCACGCGGCCTTACCCTTATCTGCCGCAAAAGTGGTATCTCACAATCTACTCACCTTTAATTTTATCCGTATTTTTCAGTTTTACATGATAAAAGTACCAGAACAAGGTGATAGAACTTTTACGGTTCCCTAGCAGGATCGTTCGGGCCAGTATTTTCACGTTAAATTTTCATTGCTTTCAGAGCCATTTATGGGGTCTGCCGATCGGTCGCATGAACTGGAAATCGTCTGCCGGGCTAAAACCAAGTTTACATGTACCCATACTATACGTATAGACGTATACACAATATAAAGGTTAGGGAAGAACGTTAGAGTACTTTTCAAGAGCCATAAAGTGGCTCTTTCTTTCGATTTTATAGCATCTAAGAGCCATTTTAGGGGTCTGCCGATCGGTTGCATGAACTGGAAATCGTCTACCAGGCTAAAGCTAAGTTTATATGTGTCGCAGGCAATTAGTCAAATCAGGCATTTAGTCAAATGCCTAGGCAAATAGTCAAATTTTACCGAAAACCCACTTTGGCTATTCGCCTAGGCAGTTGATAAAGTGCCTAGGCATTTGATGAAGAGCCTAGGCATTTGACTAAATGCCGTATGGCCTTTAGGCAAATAGTGAAACTCGTTAAAAATCAGGCAAATAGTCAAATTGCTTGGCTTACAGGAACACTTCATAACACCTTGGCCGCCAAACATAAAGCCGGCTGCAACCGCCTCACGGATCGATATGAATTTTTCTCGCGGAATTTGTGAAAAGTCGAAATCAACACAGTCGATTCGTCGAAGGTCAGGTCTGGCGCACCAATTTTTTTATGATTCCACCAATAGTTCCGACTTGGTAAACTCCGTTACGAATATCTGTTACGAAACCTTGTACATTCTGATGATCAAGCGGCCCTCTATCGACTTTTGGGACGGC